TGAAATAAGTCAGAATCTGACGCGGCCGTGCTCCTCCTTTGAGCGGGTCTGGGGATGGATCGGCCGGCATCCATTAGTGGCTATATAGGAGCGAGCGGCGCCGGGCCGGTCGTGGCGGCTGACATATGGCCGCCGACTGACGCCGGCAGGTAGCGTCAGTCGGCAGCGCCTCCCGACACTGGTGGCAGCGGTGATTATCCGGCCGACACGGTCGCGCCATTGAGCCGGTCGCGCGGCACGGCACGCTCGGCGCCGCCGCCGGCGTCGGACGCGGCAGCGGCGCGCTGACACGTGGCCGGTGACCCGCGCCACTATCGCCGCATCTGGCGCGCCGCCGCCGGCCGGATCAGTATGCCGGGCAGACGCGGCGTCCGGGGTCAGGCGCCCGCTGACCTCGGCGCCGCCGCCGCTGCCGCGCCGGCCGGCGGCGTGCGGCGCCGTCCGGCGAAGAAGCGCCCCGCCCTGCCGCGTCCAGCGCCAGACACAGCGAGCAGCGGCCGCAGGGCGCTGCGGCGCGGCCGACCGGCATTTTGCCTGGCGCTGGCGGTGTTTTTGGCGGGCCGTAGCACCGCCCGCCGGCCGGCCGGTCGTTCTGGCGTCGTTTGAATTGCAAACGACCGAATTTCAATGGCTGTGTCCATACTCCTCGCGTTCTATTACATGCCAGAGTGGCACTTAATGATCGGCTGGGAATATATTCGTACACGCGGCTGGTGCGGACAGCGGCCGGCCTTCTGCCGCGGTGGCGGCGGCGGCGGCGGCGGGGGTCACAGACGGTGGCGGCCACCCGTTACACGGGTGAAAGGTACAGAGGTCACGGCGCGGCGGCGCCCATTCGGGGCACGCGCCGGCCCCGTGCTGGCCGTCCGCCGCGGCCGTGTTTGTTTCCATCGGCGCGGGTCGGCTCGGGTCAGACCGCCGTAATTGGCTAGGGTTAAACGACGCGGCTGTCCCTGCTAATTGGGGGCCAGGAGGCCGGCGGTCGGCTCGAGGAGGCCACGGGAGGCCGGACGTGCAGCGATGGGCGTGCAGGCCACCGCTGGCACGGCCATATTCGGCAGTGGACTGTGCTGTCCAGATCCGGGCCGTGTGTGTCTGTAAGTGGGCACAGCATGACCTCCGTGAAGTGCTGCTCCCCTGCGACGATCACGAACAAGGTACGCTCCGGTGACAGGTGACAGGTGACCTGAGCACAAGGTACGCTCAGGTGACATCGGCCCTGCGGTGGGCCCTCGCGCGCGTCATCAGCGCGGTGGCGGACGTGGCTCCCGCCCGGCGACGCGCCCGGGCCGCCGACGCATTCCTCGGGCCTGGTAACGAGCAGCCTGGGCGCGATCAGACGGGCCCACGCCGGCCGCCGCCGGCCGCCGGCGGCCGCGCGCAGCACGCTTACGACCCTCCAGGAATGCTCTCTCTCACGGTGGACACGGCGCGCTGGCCGCCAGCGGCACAGCCGCGATCGGTGCCGCGTGAAGCCGCGCCACCTGCCGGCCTTAGCGCTACCCGCCGGCCCTAGTGCTACCCGCCGGCCTCCCCGCCGGTCCCAGATCCGCCCACCCGCCCCAGTGCCGCCCGTTGGCCCCAGTGCTGTTCCGAGGGTCAGCCAGTCGGCGCAGGAGCTCAGACAAAGGTGCAGGGCTGATGATGGGCGAGGCCTTGGGGCCAACATACTGATGTTGACGGGACGTGCGGGCGGGCGTCGATGTCTGCATTACGGCGCCTTATGACCTGGGCCATTGCGGTTTATGGCCAGGTGAGCGAGCCGGGTAAGCGGCGCCGCGACGCCGGCCCGGTCACGAACCAGGCGGCTGCATCAAGTCATGAGTACAGACAATAAAAGTATATGGCTTATACAGTGTGTCAGCGGTTTACGGCGCTATCTTTGCGCTGTGCCAATCCTCAGCCTTGACTCAGCCTTCAGCTGCGGTGGCGGAGCGACCGCACACCTCCCCCCCCCCTCCGCCCCCTCCCTCCGCCTCCTCCTCCCGGACCCTAATGACCCTCGAAGCACGGGCCAGCGGCTTCAGCCGGCGCGTCGCTAGCCAGACACCGGACAGGTGGATGGGTCCCCTCCCACCCCACTTGTCGAAGACACCTGTTGTAGCGACCGCGGAGACGGGGCGACCAGGCGCGGGGGGAGGGTGTCAAGTGAGCCGAGTTCAGATGGCGCTGTCGGCGGATCCGCGTTCGACGTCCGTGAGCGGGCTGGCCCGCCTCATGCAGATGAGCCGCCCGACCATCCCGTGTGCTGGTCAGCAAGGGCAAAAGGTCGTTTAACCCTCACCTTTTTATTCAATCACCCCGAGCTGTGTAATCAACAGTCATTCAGCGCCGCGCCGGCCGCTCGTTAGGGTCCGAGTCCCGGGCCACGCGGCCGGGCTTTGGACTCTATGAGCGATGCGCGCCGGCCGCTGTGTGCCCTCGCCGGCCAATTAACGACATCCCAAAGACATAGCGGAGCACGATCGTGCCGCTTTACAGCGCTGTTTACGTGACAGAGAGCCGGCTGGCGGCGGCGGCGTCGTGGCCCGCTCCGGAGGGACAGACGTCGGCGCCCTGCGGAGAGGGCGTGACCTGACGGTGCGCTCCCGGGTCTGACCTCGGCTGACCCGCCCGCCAGACGCCGCTCGGACCGGGTTCGAGCGGCTCCGCCCGCGCGTCACAGACGTCTGCCTGTCGGAAGCATAGATGATGATGCGGAGGTGTTGATCGCGGAGGTGACGCGGAGCTGTCACGCCCGGCCCAGGCGGGTGGCCCGCGGACCCTACGCTTGCGGTCGAGGCCAGGCATTGACGTGCGGACGAAACATGGATTCATGGATCTGGAGATCGAGCCTCATAGTTTGGGACCTTACGAATCTAAGATCGAACCGACTGACCCCCTCACTGTACTCAATCTAAATAATTAGTGCTCAGAAGATCCTCGAGATGCGATGCATATTTGAATTTTTGGAAGGATTATCCGGGGTGCAGAATCTTCCAAAACTTCCAAAACGTAAAATCCAAGGCTTCCAGATGGTTTCCAAATTACGGCATCTGTATGATCCGCCTCCTTGACGTGAAGTCATCATTGACCTCTAGAATAACGCTTCCTAGCTTTCAAAAACTAATTGTAAAACGTATTGCTCTTAAACGTAACGCCGACAGGAATCTAGCGCAGCTTAATCTGTTGCATATTTAAAATGTCCGGTTATACCAAAAATGCGTCGTTATCCGCATGGTCTTCTGATATTCATTGCAACAATTATTTCGTAAGATCCCGAGTGTGTTTCAGACGTTGCTGGAAGGTTCACAAAGATGCTGGATCGTGTGTTGCATTTTGCCGACTGATCTTCTGGAATACAGGGCTTGTACACAATTCAGCCTAAGTGGCTCCCGAGATTTATTGCATTTTGAGAGGAAGGTCTCCGAGAACCATCCAGCGCCCGGGGCTTTTCATGCCGTCTGTAGCTCTTCCGCGACCCGGAAGTCCTCGTGTGATCGGCGCCCGCGTACGCCGCCAGCGTAGCACGCGCCCGGCCGGACCACCGCCTGCGCCTCCCGCCGGCCGCAGCCCTGCACGCCGGCCGAGCATTATTCGGACGGCCGTTCTGACGCCGCTTTCTTGATTACGCCTGTTGTTTCATACGCGATAAAGCGGATCAGGGTAACAAACGCGGCCGTAAAGCCGGCTAATACACGGAGTCAACCGGTTAAGGCAGGCCCGAGAACGGAGGCGGCCACGCCACTGAGAGGAGCAGCGTCTCTCGCGAGCCGCCGGCTTCTGAGGGCAATTAGCGAGTGTTCGCACTCACAACTCGCGCATGGATGCTCGCGGCCCTCCGGGATGGCGCTTGTCGGCGCACGTCAATGACGCAACGGCGCATCTGACGCCGCCAACGACGCAAGTTGGATCTCAAGTCGACTTCCCCGGAGAGGGGCTTGGCCGCGCAGCGGGGTTTAGAATGACGTCTCAGGGAAGAGGACCTTGACGTCACCTGCGCCGTGGCGAAATGTCAGCTCTGTGACGAGCAGCCACGCTCGACCCCTCCCCCCGGGGAGGGGCACCAGCGCACTCCGTCAGACGACATGACATCGTTTGCCGTGAGTGTCCGTGTCTCATGTGGTGACATCACCGTGTCTCATGTGGTGACATCACCGTGTCTTATGTGACGTTACCTTGTCTCATGTGGTGACGTCACCGTGTCCCATCCGTCCCGGAATGAAGTTCTCACGGTCCGATGAGTGATAGGGACATTAGGCACCGGCTGCGGCCGCGCCGAAGCGGCGCTGGAAGTGGTGAGGAGGCCGGCGGCGGGCCCGCCTCGGAGCGGCGCCCCGTTCCCACGTCGGCCGAGCGCGGCCCGTGCAGCGGCTTTGTTCACACACAGGTGGCGTGACCCGGGGCGGCGGCGCGCGCGGGGAGCCGCCGCCGCCGCCACTGCCGGACGTGCGCCCGCGCCCGGCTCGACCCGGACCGGACACCGCCCCACCGACCGTGCCCTGCCGTCAGCGCCGGCGCGCGTGCAGGGCATGACAAGACAAGACGCAGGGCATGACGAGCGTACGGCAGGGCCGGGGACGAGGGGCCGGACCAGGCCAGACACGGGCTGCGCCCTGGGACCTGGGTGGTTCGCGGGGCACGCTGGGGATGACATCAACGGTCGGTCTTTTGGTGACTTGCGGCGTCCCGTGACCTATGACTGGTGTCGGCTCATTGGGAAGCTTGCTCGTATTGCGTGAGGTTTAGTGTTCAAATGATTCCGGTGGCTTGATTTTTGGGTACTCAACGCACGGGAGGCGGGGGTTGCAGGCCTGTCTGCGGTGCCCATAGCGTTCTCAGGTTCGCTGAGCACTGGCTGGAGAGCGTCGGTGCTGAGCCGTGTGGCCGTGCGCGCGTCTGCCGGCCTCCTTCTCACCTGGTGCCCCCCGCGCGCCCGTCTGCCGGCCTCCTCCTCACCTGGTGCCCCCCGCGCGCGTGTCCGCCGGCCTCCTCCTCACCTGGTGCCGTCCGTGTTTCAGACGCGTGCGGCCTGCAGGACGTGGCGCACATCGAGTCGCTGCAGGACAAGTCGCTGTCGGCGCTGATGGAGTACTGTAGCACTCAGTACCCAGAGCAGCGACTGCGCGCCTCCAAGCTGCTACTGCAGCTGCGCACGCTGCGCTCCATCAGCAGCGACGTCATCGAGCAGCTCTTCTTCGTGCGCCTGGTGGGCAAGACGCCCATCACGACGCTCATCAGGGACATGGTGATGAACGGCGTGTCGTCGCAGCAGCTGGTCAGCTCGTGGTCGACGACGCCGCACTGGGCGGCCAGCATGTGACATCCGGCCGCCGCCGCCGTGCTGCCGTTTCTCGGGCTCACCTGACCGCAGCCCGGTCACCAAAGACACCGCCCACCTCCGAGACATCACGCACATCCGTTCCTCGATAGTCAAACCAAGTATTATTAATGTAGCGGCGGCGGCGGCGGCGGCGTCAGAGTCGGAGTCGGACGAGGGGCGGGTCTCGCCGGCCGTGGCCAGGCCGCGATACTTCCCGCCGCCGCCGGCGGACGCGGTGCGCCAGCGTGCCCGCCGCGGCGGCGCCGTGTACGCCGCCGGTGGGGCCGGCCCGCCCGTGCAATGCTGCCAGCGGCTCTCTCTAGCCACTGTCGGCGACGGCCCGGCCGATATCTGTACCTGCTCCACACATTACTCGATGTTCCGCGAAAGTGCATGTGTGAATGTACGGCGGGCGCTCGTGTGTGGTCACAATGGGGAGAGGTCGGTACAGCACAGGCCAAAGGACGGAATGCCATGTGATAACACGCAAGATGTTGTTCGTGTTGGCAAGGAGTTCGCGTTTTCACTTCATCCGTTTGTTAAAGGTCGTTTTTATAGGCGCTGAATGCAATGTGCAAGTTTGGTTTTACCACACCCCATGAACTTTTATTTCCTTCGATTTTATGCGCAGCATCGACCATTCAGCGCGTCGACATTTAACTTTTAAAGTACAAGTGTTCATACAACGATATCCAGTGAAGATCTTGGATAGTCAGCGGTTGCGATTAGCTTTACATGTGTAACTTGACGTGCGTAGCATTTCTGTGGACATATGAGTGTCTCCTACGATGTCAGTGACAGTATAGCTCTCTTATACCCAGAATAAATGATCTCAATGTTCTGGAAGCCGGCTTTGACCCCACACCTGCCTTCGACAGGTGATATGAGGCGACTGACCTTCGACCTCTGACCCCAGAACAGTTTACGGGACCACAAAAAGCTGCCGGCACTCGCTGCTTACCGCGCATATTTCTATTACAGACGGCACATAAATATCCGCTCGGACCTTTCACCATTCATGGCCCCTAATCCTGGCCGCCTCGTTCAAAGGCCATCGCAGTCGACTGACGGTCAAAACAAATGCATAAACCACAAGCAAGGAGAAACGGAGACGCCGAGCTAACGCCGAAAACGTGATTTACAATTGTGTGGCACGCAGCCGGACCGGCGGGAGTGCAGCCTCTGTGCCGAGTGACCGACGCCGGCCGGCGGGGTCAGCGGTCAGGTTAGGGGTCACACACAGGACCATCCGTGGCAGGACAGTCTCGACAGAGCCGCCGGTACTGGCGACCCCGCCCGGTGTGTGTGTGTGTGTGTGTGTGTGTGTGTGTGTGTGTGTGTGTGTGTGTGTGTGTGTGTGTGTGTCGACTGCCCCCCCCCCCCCCCACCCCTACCCACCCCCGGTGGCTCGAGCTGCGTGCCCCTGACTTCGTCCCGAGTGGGTCATCAGTGACTGATCGGGCGGCCAGATGTCAGTATCATGGTCAGCCCAGAGTGGTCAGTATCATGGTCAGCCCAGAATGGTCAGTATCATGGTCAGCCCAGAATGGTCAGTGTCATGGTCAGCCCAGAATGGTCAGTATCATGGTCAGCCCAGAATCATGATTATGGTCAGAATATGGAATGGTCAGCCCTGGTCAGAACGGCCGGCCGGGGAATACAAAGATTGTGACCAGGGCTGGTGGCGTGTGGATGGGGTCGGCAACTGTGCGGCGGCACCGATCGGAGCAGCAGCAGCAGCGGCCGGAGCAGCGGCAGCGCCGACCAGAGCAGCAGCAGCAGCGGCCGGAGCAGCGGCAGCAGCGACCGGAGCAGCGGCAGCAGCGGCCGGAGCAGCGGCAGCACCGACCGGAGCAGTGGCAGCAGCAACCGGAGCAGAGGCAGCAGCGACCGGAGCAGCGGCAGCAGCGGCCGGAGCAGCAGCAGCAGCGGCCGGAGCAGCGGCAGCGCCGACCAGAGCAGCAGCAGCAGCGGCCGGAGCAGCGGCAGCAGCGGCCGGAGCAGCGGCAGCGGCGACCGGAGCAGCGGCAGCACCGACCGGAGCAGTGGCAGCACCGGCCGGAGCAGCGGCAGCAGCGGCTGGAGTAGCGGCAGCAGCGACCGGAGCAGCGGCAGCAGCGACCGGAGCAGCGGCAGCAGCGGCCGGAGCAGCGGCAGCAGCGACCGGAGCAGTGGCAGCAGCGGCCGGAGCAGCGGCAGCAGCGGCCGGAGCAGCGGCAGCAGCGACCGGAGCAGTGGCAGCAGCGGCCGGAGCAGCGGCAGCAGCGGCCGGAGCAGCTGGACATGACAGTTTGGGCCGTTACCAGAGGGCGTCCCGCCCGTGGACAGCGCCACACACTCGGGCCGGCTGAATCCGGCCATCGCCGGCATGCTCTCCGGAATCGGCCGGCGCGCGCCAGCCGGCCGGCCGCCGCCGTTGGATTTGAGGTCAGAGGGTCGCGCGTGGAGGGCGCCTGGGGGCGCAGATGTGCGCCGTCCGTGCTGCGCCACGCAGTTCTGACGCACCGACGCGCGCGCTCTGCTGCGGGCAGGCGCTCATGCATAATTAGGCGTACCTAGAGCGTACAGGCACGAACGCTTACTTGTGCAGAGTCGAAGACGGATGAGTAAGACGAAGGGTGAAACAGCCCGGAAGATGTCTGGACCTTGATCCAAGCTGTCTGACTGCAGCGTTGTACCAACGTTGTACGCTGCCTCGGAACAGACGAAGAGTCTGAGCTTGATTCAAAGTAAGCCACGTCCTTGCATAGGATGGCATTGGTCCGTGCTTTATAGTTTTATCCCGTGTTGTTTGCATGCTGGTAGCCGGAGTCTCTGTAACGGACAACGAATAGAAAGGAGACAAAACGCACCCAATACAAGGAGCCTTGTTATCCGAAACAAAGCCTCCAAGCATGGAGATTATACACGCACAATGCATATAAACACGCTGTCATCCCCAACCCACCGAGCGCCGTGTTGAACTGCCTGCGCGGAATGCTAGCGGAGGAGCCGGCCTCGGCTGAGCCAGCAGCGTGCGGCGCGGCCGGCGCCGCGTGGTGCGTGCAGTCGTGACCCGGGGCCACCGCCGCTCCCAGTCAAAAGAATGCGCTGTTGCGCAACAACTGCGCTCATCTCGCGATGATGGCCTCCGCACGCAGCCGGGCTGGGGCTGGCTGCGAAGGCTGTCAGCATGCTGCACGTAGCCGAGCTGAGGCTGGCTGAGAACTCCGTCAGGATACTACACGTAGCCGGGCTGAGGCTGGCTGAGAACTCTGTCAGGATACTACACGCGGCCGGGTTGGGGCTGGCTGAGAACTCTGTCAGGATACTACACGCGGCCGGGCTGGGGCTGGCTGAGAACTCTGTCAGGATGCTACACGTAGCCGGAATGGGGCTGGCTGAGAACTCTGTCAACATACTACACGCGGCCGGGCTGGGGTTGGCTGAGAACTCTGTCAGGATACTACACGTGGCCGGGCTGGGGCTGGCTGAGAACTCTGTCAGCATACTACACGCGGCCGGGCTGGGGCTGGCTGAGAACCCTGTCAGTATACTACACGCAGCCGGGCTGGGGCTGGCTGGGAAGGCCCCAACAGCAAGAAGATGCTTAAAAGCTTATGATGGCCACTGGAAAACTGTTTCTACAGGCGGGATGAAGCAAGGAACTCGCGGTAGATTCTCGGCGTTCAGGGGCAAGGACGCGTGACAATACAATACCATGCGACCGTTTTGGGAAGCGGCTCCTAAGTCGGCCCGCACCAGTGCACTGATTCCAGGTTTTTTCAAGATGCTCTTATTCAGAGTTGAAACCTTCATGTACATTTGTGTGTGCAGTTTCGCAGCATTAACGCAGTGCTGCACAGAAGATGGCAGAAGGGCTGTTCTCAGCACGTATAAAATGCTGAATGCTTACACCGATGGCCAGCCAATTCCCATCGCCGTCGTTATTCCCAAATCCCCGTCCCGTGTCCAGTCCAATGCCACATCAACCAATGTAAACCGAATCCGGTACGTATAGGCAACACGCTGCTCAGGCGCACTTGCGTCAACCCAAGCCCATCGATTCGCACACATTCTCCGGGTCACGCCAAGATCGCCTCGGTTCCAGCGGCGTCGCCCGTGACATCCGTCACTGCTGCACACAACAGGCATTCGAGGTGGCGGAACAGAGCTGACCCGAGCGAGATGTTCCCGTTGGTTTTTACCATCTGACCCCAAGTCGTTCAGCCGCGGGATCAGGTCAGCTGTCGGCAGCAGTACGAATCTCCCGCCGGCTGGCTGCCGGGCGCACCACTGTGTGGGCACACCACCAACACAGCACACGCGCCTGACACCAGCACACTGTGAGCCGACCTCAGGTCAGCTCCGGCCGCTGGGATCTGACGGAGTCGCTCACTGTGAGCCGACCTCAAGTCAGCTCCGATCGCTGGGGTCTGACGGAGTCGCCCACTGTGAGCCGACCTCAGGTCAGCTCCGGCCGCTGGGATCTGACAGAGTCGCTCACTGTGAGCCGACCTCAGGTCAGCTCCGGCCGCTGGGATCTGACGGAGCCGCTCGCTGTGAGGCGACCTCAGGCCAGAGGGGGTCAGCGCTGGGCCGGTGTTGCCCAATCTGAGCCTGGCCGTCTGGCTCATGAGTCTGGCCGTCTCGACGTCCCGTTGCTGTGACCGGCGAGTGGCCCAGCTAATCAGCGACGGCCAGAGTGGGCGTCCGGCGCCTGCTGTCGCCGTCCACCGGCGGCCGAGCGGGGCAGAGCTCCAATCGCTCGCCAGCGGCCGGCGCGCAGCTCTGCCGGCTCGGATCGTCGGTATAGATCAGCAGCGCGGCTCCTGCACGCGACGCTCGTGCTCCCAGCGTGGCGACTGCACACGGCGGGCGCTCTACCACTGGTGACGGGCACGAATGCAGTACCAATCAGTGCCCGTGATTTCGTCGATGAAGGCCGAAGGGTTAGGAATCTCGGTTCACACATGGAGTACCCGGGTTCGCGCGCATATAACTACCCCTGGCGTTCAAAACACCGTGCGCAGGAATGTACACCGCGTACTGGAGCTATTTATTCGAATCGGATTACTAAAAAGTATTTCGAGAATACTGAAGTGGTGCATGGCCTAGGCCGGCCAGGCAGACCAGCCACTTTTTGCTGTTGCGATTTAGCGCACTTAGTCAATCGTTATGGCCCGGAACATGCTCCAGTTTCTATCCCGATGCTTCTTTTG